TTCGGACAACTTTCACTAGTGAATTGACAGGTTTTGAAATCCGTTTGCCAATATCCTTCCGGGTTACAGTGAAATCGAACTTAACGTGTTTGATTTAGTGGATTCATCAATCCGGAATGGTCCAAATAGCATTGTTTTTGGCAAATTTTTTCAGCTGAAACTTTTTAGATTAAATTTTGTGCACTGAACTAGAAAAAAATAGGCAACTTTGCAACTACTGGACAGACCTAGTTCAACTTGGTACCATTAGATTAGAAATTAGGTGAGCTTATCCATTAAAACATTAATTAATCAAAAAAGAAAAGCGTGAAATTTCTTAAAGATTGTTTTTTTGCAAACTCACTAATTCGGGAAGGTAGACCCTTCACGTTTTATAATTATTTTTTTGGAAAGCCCTTACACCCCTACCAAAGGGTAGTAACGGTTGAAAAGGGCAATTTTACGCAGTTTTAGACAAAAAGGGAAGGCTAAGTAAACCAGAAAACCATAGTCGAGTCGAAACTAGGCTAGTGATCAGACCCTTCACATTTAAGGTGAATTGTCAAATAAGAGGCTTAGCTTCAATCCGGAAGGGTCTTGGGAAAGATAATACACCCTTCCTAGTTAGTTCAAACAGCATAATAGCATCGGAGAACTTATCCGGAAGGGTATCGGGTGAAAATTTTGAAAGTCTCTGAGAAGCTACTTTTACAAACCCGGAGGGGTCCCAATCCGGAAGGGTCCCAATTTTGCCAATCCGAAGGGGTCTTATTTTGCCAATCCGGATGGGTCTTAATTTTGCCAATCCGGAAGTATCCCAATTTTGCCAATCCGGAAGGGTCCCAATTTTGCCAATCCGGAGGGGTACTATTTTTGCCAATCCGGAGGGGTACTATTTTTGCCAATCCGGAGGGGTCTTGTTTTTGCCAATCCGGAGTGGTACTATTTTTGCTAATCCGGAGGGGCCTTGTTTTTGGCAATCCGGAGGGGTCCTGTTTTTGCCAATCTGGAGGGGTACTATTTTGTTAAGACTTAAGTAGACAGAAGAACAGAAAATAGTGAAAGATATTAGGTTATTAAGAGACAAGCACTTTCCTTGGCCCTCTAATATTCAATCTCTACATTAACGATCTCAAAAAACAAATTGACAAAACATGTAAAATAGTTCAAAATGCGGATGATACATTACTATTCTGTGAGAAAAAAAACGATCCACAAAAAGCTCTTAAAGCACTCGAAGCCAATTGCAGTCTGTTGTCAAATTATTTTTAGAACACTCACTTCAGTTGAATGCAAAAAAAACAGAACTCATCGTTTTCAGCAAAAAACATTCAAGGAAAAAGGATGAAAAGTATACTTTAACTCTAGATGATAAAATAAATGAGAAAAAAACCATTGTTAAATACCCAGGAGTAGTTTTAGATCAGTTTCTCACATTCCAAGATGAAATCAAAAATATTCTCAGGAAAATGGCATGCGGAATAAAAACAATTCAATCAATCAAAAAGCCATTGCCAGTAAAAACAAGACTCTTGATAATGCATGCACTGGTAATTAGTCATTTGCATTACCCAGCAATTCTTTTAAGTGGAATATCCGCTAAACTAATGATATCTCTGGAAAAACAGTTAAGCTGGGCAGTAAAAACTTGCTGCGATCGTGCAAAATGCGACTCATCTTCAGACTTGAAGCTAAAACACAATATATTGCCAGTAGCAATGTTTCTGGACTATAAAATATTATGTCACTTTGGAAAAACAACATCAATTATTGCCAGCCTATAATAACATTGAGTATGTTAACCACCAAATAGATATTAACACAAGAAACAAAAAAGTATATTTCGGCGACAGATACAATGGGCAATACATAGAAAATTCCTTCTTTAAAAAGTCCGTCATAATCTGGAACAAACTAACAGATGATAAAGTCAAATTTAAGGACATATTAACATGCAGAAAAGCAAAGATAAAGTTCAAGAATTATTATTTATTTTTATTTAAAGAAGACCCCTCTGTGGCAACTCATGGTAAATTTTCATGGAAAAGCTTCAAGTTTATATGATAAAATTTATATATAAGCCACCTTGAAGCTCTCAGGTGAAAAGTAATCATCGATAATTGTAATAGTTTTTGTTTTGTTTATTGTTATTGTAACTATGCGTATCTAATAATGTTATAATATTCTTATGAATCGATAGAGAAAAAAAAACAGAAAACATTTGACATACACTTGTGTATTGAAATTAATTTCGATGTGCAATTAAAGTGTTTTTTTTTAGAAATAGGGGTGATATTTCCCCGAATTCCAGAATCCGGAGGGGTCTCGGGCCCAAAACTCAAACTGTCTTATACAAACTTTTAGCTTCCTGTCATGTCCTGAGTTGAAATTAATTAACATCCTGATTCATTTTCAGAGAATGAGAAGCAAGGATTGAGGGAAAGAGTTGATCCATCTTCGATAGAGATGATGGTTTTTATCTACTGAGCAAAAACGATAGTAATATAATAAATAGTAGTAGCCCTGTTTTTAGGAGTGACCTCGTGGTCTGGGGATACTGAGACCCAGCCATGAGCTCACTATTTTTGCATATAATTAAGTTAATTTGAGTGTTTTGACCGAACCCGGAAACAGTAACGTTTTTGTCGACCCGATGGTAGGAAAACCACCAAAAGAACTGGCTTTGGCAGAGACGGTGAAAAGCATGTGGAGCTGTGTTTAGACGCTAGCCAGTCGTTTTAGAACCTAGCTTTATTTTTCGTCGATATGTACTTCCGGGCGAATGTTACATAGATGTTTTTATGGCGCTCCTGGGTGTTTTGTTTTTACATCATGAACGGCAGAACCGTTAACGAGCACTCCATGCCGAGCGGATGCTCAAAACAACGCCCTAACCACCAGGCGGAAGGGTAGTTCGGAACGCGGAAGCCTTCCGGATTCCCGTGAAAAGTTTTTTAACCTAGTTAGGACCAAAAATTCACGAGCCAGGAAGGGTGGGCGATTGGCCGTCCCGTCGTCCCCTGAGAGGTTTGTGAACAAAAACACTTGAAGATATACAAAAAAACAAACAAAAATTAGTATAGTACCTAAGAAAAAGAAAAAACATAAAAAATAACCGAAAAAAAAACAAAAACAGTAAAAAAAGTATAAAATCAGTAGAAATTATCCCCACAGACACAGACGAGATGTGATCCGACCCTCCCGTCCCATTTTTTGTTGTTAGATATATTGTTGTTACAGGCATTTAAATCAGTCAGCATCTTTACGATCAATTTTGTGGCCCGTTTGTGGTGTTTGTACTGTAGGGTTATTTGAGTTTTTAAGCACGTTAATGCTAATTTGCGCTCAATCCGGAAGGGTCTCGGGATTAGAGAAGAAGACTGATCCGGCAAGCAGTTCAAGGAAGACAAGAAGGGGCTCAAGGACACAACAATCGACTGTTGGGTATCGTTAAAATCTTTGTATCCCTTTTGGTACAAAAAGTAAGATATTACTCTGTGGGGAGCTCGACAATGACTGCACTGTAGTGACCCTTCACCGAACTGCGAATTTCCGAGTTAACCACCTTAATTTGGAGATTGAAAAAACCCGTATGGGTATAGTATTACTAGTATTATCATCTATACAGCCTATATTAATACTCCTATATCGTTTTTCAGTGAAAAACACAGTAAGCGGACCGGTTTTTAGGTTCAAAATAGCGATATTTTGATCCCCCCAAAAATTGCGTTCTTTGAGATGTCGATATTTTTTGAAACGGAAAAAAGCGCTAAAATAGTGAGTTACATCGTAACTGTACTAGTATAATGGGTAGAACCGGTTAAGTTTAGTTCGGAAGTGGTTGGAACTAATTGGTTACCAAAAACCGAATTTTCTTCATTTTTGAAAATGCTACAAAATAGGAAAAGTTTTTAAAAACTTTGAGTTAGGACAGTAAAATTATTGTTCGGACAACGTTCACTAGTGAATTGACAGGTTTTGAAATCTGTTTGCCAATATCCTTCCGGGTTACAGTGAAATCGAACTTAAGGTGTTTGATTTAGTGGATTCATCAATCCGGAATGGTCCAAATAGCATTGTTTTTGGCAAATTGTTTCAGCTGAAACTTTTTAGATTAAATTTTGTGCACTGAACTAGAAAAAAATAGGCAACTTTGGAACTACTGGACAGATCTAGTTCAACTTGGTACCATTAGATTAGAAATTAGGTGAGCTTATCCATTAAAACATTAATTAATCAAAAAAGAAAAGCGTGAAATTTCTTAAAGATTGTTTTTTGCAAACTCACTAATTCGGGAAGGTAGACCCTTCACGTTATATAATTATTTTTTTGGAAAGCCCTTACACCCCTACCAAAGGGTAGTAACGGTTGAAAAGGGCAATTTTACGCAGTTTTAGACAAAAAGGGAAGGCTAAGTAAACCAGAAAACCATAGTCGAGTCGAAACTAGGCTAGTGATCAGACCCTTCACATTTAAGGTGAATTGTCAAATAAGAGGCTTAGCTTCAATCCGGAAGGGTCTTGGGAAAGATAATACACCCTTCCTAGTTAGTCCAAACAGCATAATAGCATCGGAGAACTTATCCGGAAGGGTATCGGGTGAAAACTTTGAAAGTCTCTGAGAAGCTACTTTTACAAACCCGGAGGGGTCCCAATCCGGAAGGGTCCCAATTTTGCCAATCCGGAGGGGTCTTATTTTGCCAATCCGGATGGGTCTTAATTTTGCCAATCCGGAAGTGTCCCAATTTTGCCAATCCGGAAGGGTCCCAATTTTGCCAATCCGGAGGGGTACTATTTTTGCCAATCCGGAGGGGTACTATTTTTGCCAATCCGGGGGGGTCTTGTTTTTGCCAATCCGGAGTGGTACTATTTTTGCTAATCCGGAGGGGCCTTGTTTTTGGCAATCCGGAGGGGTCCTGTTTTTGCCAATCTGGAGGGGTACTATTTTGTTAAGACTTAAGTAGACAGAAGAACAGAAAATAGTGAAAGGTTATAGGTTATCAAGAGACAGGCTAGAAACCAATGACTGCACTGGTAACTTGCCTTTGTAAAAGACCAGACCAAAACAAAACAGGTCTAAACTCGGATTTGCGCGACATCGAAATTGAAAAAGAGTTTGTCACTGATTTGTGTGGGTTGAAATCCAAATCGTTTCTTGGAAAAGTGATTGCCTTGAGGATTTTAGTAGGTCTAGCTCGGGCAATCCGAAGACAGAGAGGTAACACAGGACTCGGTGGGTGCAATAGACGCTCACTTGAGAAAATTACTGCCTTCACGTTTTGTCTGTTTGGTGCAGCACCAAGCAGGGAAAGCTCTTTCTTTAGAAACAAGTTCGACTATTACATTGCGACTGACTGAAGTACAAAACACATACGTTTTTCATTGAAAATATTCTTATTTTTCTTTATTTTGGTTTTAAATCAAAAATATCTGTCTTTGATTGGGTAGTGAAAACACTATCTTCTAAATAAATTGATATCATCATACTGTGCTAGCTTAATATCTTAAAACTAATAATCGACTATTGTGAATAAATTCTATACACACTGTACTGTGATAACATACAACGATTCGTGGTCACTATTTAAGTGAAACTTTTGGAATTTATTGTGCTGTGTTATTGTTATCAGTAGTCAGACTAAAAGGACACTAGCAATTGAATTGAGTGTATAAGCAGTAAGAAGTTATAAATTGAAAATGAGTCTAGACAAGTCAAGGATACCCAAACTAAGTGATAGCTCCAGGAAATTAATACCAGAGAAACAGAGAAAAGCAATGAACGACCCTTTTGTGGAAAGAACCACACGAACCCGGACTGATAAAGGGAAGAAAGTTTCAGGCATAATGGTTGAAACCAGGAGTCAAAAGTCCTCAGAAGGACAGTAGGCAAGGTTAGAGGTAGAGGTCCATTCGGACCCCGCCGTGGATGAGAACCAAGAGGGACATGGACCGGAAGGGAGAGGAAACAGAAGATTCGCGAGTGAATATACTTCGGTAGAGCAAGGCCAAGATTTTGCCACTTCCACCGAGACCCTGGACCGAGAAGAGAAGTCGGAACTGTCTGACATCTCTACTGGAAATGTGGCGACTACAAGATCATCCACAGACAACACCACGATGCTTGGCGTGACGGAGAAACCGGCAACGTCCTCGTCGTTTTCAGAAAGAGTGAAGAACACTTTCGGAAACTTCTTTCCATTTACTATGGGAACGGGTACGGGCGATGAAGCAGAAACACAGGAAGAAGAAGAGGACGATGACGGGCAAGATGACTTTGGATCTCAAGTCAGCCTCAATAGCTCGACTCAGGAGAATGACGCATACACCGATAGAGAGGCTGGGACCATGGACCAATTTGGTGTGGTGAGGAGAAAAAGCAATACCACTAACGGATCAGGCCAGTCAGGAGACTTTGTGAACATGAAGAATTCGGAAAGGTGAGCTTCGAAGAATAGAAACACTGGGCTATGTGACGCACCTGTGGATCCAGAAGTGGATCAAGAAAAGACGTCGAGGCAGATAATCAAGGCCCGAATATCGACCAGCACCAAGCTACCTGGGACCGACAGGGTGGCACCGCCACTTTTGACACCATTAGTGGATATTGGAGCATCAATTGAAGAATCCTTGACCAACATAATGGGCAGCATAGGAGAACAGATTGAACAGATGTCCTTATGTGGTGTTTGTACTGTAGGGTTATTTGAGTTTTTAAGCACGTTAATGCTAATTTGCGCTCAATCCGAAAGGGTCTCGGGATTAGAGAAGAAGACTGATCCGGCAAGCAGTTCAAGGAGCGACAAGAAGGAGCTCAAGGACACAACAATCGACTGTTGGGTATCGTTAAAATCTTTAAATCCCTTTTGGTACAAAAAGTAAGATATTACTCTGTGGGGAGCTCGACAATGACTGCACTGTAGTGACCCTTCACCGAACTGCGAATTTCCGAGTTAACCACCTTAATTTGGAGATTGAAAAAACCCGTATGGGTATAGTATTACTAGTATTATCATCTATACAGCCTATATTAATACTCCTATATCGTTTTTCAGTGAAAAACACAGTAAGCGGACCGGTTTTTAGGGTCAAAATAGCGATATTTTGATCCCCCCAAAAATTGCGTTTTTTGAGATGTCGATATTTTTTGAAACGGAAAAAAGCGCTATAATAGTGAGTTACATCGTAACTGTACTAGTATAATGGGTAGAACCGGTTAAGTTTAGTTCGGAAGTGGTTGGAACTAATTGGTTACCAAAAACCGAATTTTCTTCATTTTTGAAAATGCTACAAAATAAGAAAAATTTTTAAAAACTTTGAGTTAGGACAGTAAAATTATTGTTCGGACAACGTTCACTAGTGAATTGACAGGTTTTGAAATCCGTTTGCCAATATCCTTCCGGGTTACAGTGAAATCGAACTTAACGTGTTTGATTTAGTGGATTCATCAATCCGGAATGGTCCAAATAGCATTGTTTTTGGCAAATTTTTTCAGCTGAAACTTTTTAGATTAAATTTTGTGCACTGAACTAGAAAAAAATAGGCAACTTTGCAACTACTGGACAGACCTAGTTCAACTTGGTACCATTAGATTAGAAATTAGGTGAGCTTATCCATTAAAACATTAATTAATCAAAAAAGAAAAGCGTGAAATTTCTTAAAGATTGTTTTTTTGCAAACTCACTAATTCGGGAAGGTAGACCCTTCACGTTTTATAATTATTTTTTTGGAAAGCCCTTACACCCCTACCAAAGGGTAGTAACGGTTGAAAAGGGCAATTTTACGCAGTTTTAGACAAAAAGGGAAGGCTAAGTAAACCAGAAAACCATAGTCGAGTCGAAACTAGGCTAGTGATCAGACCCTTCACATTTAAGGTGAATTGTCAAATAAGAGGCTTAGCTTCAATCCGGAAGGGTCTTGGGAAAGATAATACACCCTTCCTAGTTAGTTCAAACAGCATAATAGCATCGGAGAACTTATCCGGAAGGGTATCGGGTGAAAATTTTGAAAGTCTCTGAGAAGCTACTTTTACAAACCCGGAGGGGTCCCAATCCGGAAGGGTCCCAATTTTGCCAATCCGAAGGGGTCTTATTTTGCCAATCCGGATGGGTCTTAATTTTGCCAATCCGGAAGTATCCCAATTTTGCCAATCCGGAAGGGTCCCAATTTTGCCAATCCGGAGGGGTACTATTTTTGCCAATCCGGAGGGGTACTATTTTTGCCAATCCGGAGGGGTCTTGTTTTTGCCAATCCGGAGTGGTACTATTTTTGCTAATCCGGAGGGGCCTTGTTTTTGGCAATCCGGAGGGGTCCTGTTTTTGCCAATCTGGAGGGGTACTATTTTGTTAAGACTTAAGTAGACAGAAGAACAGAAAATAGTGAAAGATATTAGGTTATTAAGAGACAGGCACTTTCCTTGGCCCTCTAATATTCAATCTCTACATTAACGATCTCAAAAAACAAATTGACAAAACATGTAAAATAGTTCAAAATGCGGATGATACATTACTATTCTGTGAGAAAAAAAACGATCCACAAAAAGCTCTTAAAGCACTCGAAGCCAATTGCAGTCTGTTGTCAAATTATTTTTAAAACACTCACTTCAGTTGAATGCAAAAAAAAACAGAACTCATCGTTTTCAGCAAAAAACATTCAAGGAAAAAGGATGAAAAGTATACTTTAACTCTAGATGATAAAATAACTGAGAAAAAAACCATTGTTAAATACCCAGGAGTAGTTTTAGATCAGTTTCTCACATTCCAAGATGAAATCAAAAATATTCTCAGGAAAATGGCATGCGGAATAAAAACAATTCAATCAATCAAAAAGCCATTGCCAGTAAAAACAAGACTCTTGATAATGCATGCACTGGTAATTAGTCATTTGCATTACCCAGCAATTCTTTTAAGTGGAATATCCGCTAAACTAATGATATCTCTGGAAAAACAGTTAAGCTGGGCAGTAAAAACTTGCTGCGATCGTGCAAAATACGACTCATCTTCAGACTTGAAGCTAAAACACAATATATTGCCAGTAGCAATGTTTCTGGACTATAAAATATTATGTCACTTTGGAAAAACAACATCAATTATTGCCAGCCTATAATAACATTGAGTATGTTAACCACCAAATAGATATTAACACAAGAAACAAAAAATTATATTTCGGCGACAGATACAATGGGCAATACATAGAAAATTCCTTCTTTAAAAAGTCCGTCATAATCTGGAACAAACTAACAGATGATAAAGTCAAATTTAAGGACATATTAACATGCAGAAAAGCAAAGATAAAGTTCAAGAATTATTATTTATTTTTATTTAAAGAAGACCCCTCTGTGGCAACTCATGGTAAATTTTCATGGAAAAGCTTCAAGTTTATATGATAAAATTTATATATAAACCACCTTGAAGCTCTCAGGTGAAAAGTAATCATCGATAATTGTAATAGTTTTTGTTTTGTTTATTGTTATTGTAACTATGCGTATCTAATAATGTTATAATATTCTTATGAATCGATAGAGAAAAAAAAACAGAAAACATTTGACATACACTTGTGTATTGAAATTAATTTCGATGTGCAATTAAAGTGTTTTTTTTTAGAAATAGGAGTGATATTTCCCCGAATTCCAGAATCCGGAGGGGTCTCGGGCCCAAAACTCAAACTGTCTTATACAAACTTTTAGCTTCCTGTCATGTCCTGAGTTGAAATTAATTAACATCCTGATTCATTTTCAGAGAATGAGAAGCAAGGATTGAGGGAAAGAGTTGATCCATCTTCGATAGAGATGATGGTTTTTATCTACTGAGCAAAAACGATAGTAATATAATAAATAGTAGTAGCCCTGTTTTTAGGAGTGACCTCGTGGTCTGGGGATACTGAGACCCAGCCATGAGCTCACTATTTTTGCATATAATTAAGTTAATTTGAGTGTTTTGACCGAACCCGGAAACAGTAACGTTTTTGTCGACCCGATGGTAGGAAAACCACCAAAAGAACTGGCTTTGGCAGAGACGGTGAAAAGCATGTGGAGCTGTGTTTAGACGCTAGCCAGTCGTTTTAGAACCTAGCTTTATTTTTCGTCGATATGTACTTCCGGGCGAATGTTACATAGATGTTTTTATGGCGCTCCTGGGTGTTTTTTTTTACATCATGAACGGCAGAACCGTTAACGAGCACTCCATGCCGAGCGGATGCTCAAAACAACGCCCTAACCACCAGGCGGAAGGGTAGTTCGGAACGCGGAAGCCTTCCGGATTCCCGTGAAAAGTTTTTTAACCTAGTTAGGACCAAAAATTCACGAGCCAGGAAGGGTGGGCGATTGGCCGTCCCGTCGTCCCCTGAGAGGTTTGTGAACAAAAACACTTGAAGATATACAAAAAAACAAACAAAAATTAGTATAGTACCTAAGAAAAAGAAAAAACATAAAAAATAACCGAAAAAAAAACAAAAACATTAAAAAAAGTATAAAATCAGTAGAAATTATCCCCACAGACGAGATGTGATCCGACCCTCCCGTCCCATTTTTTGTTGTTAGATATATTGTTGTTACAGGCATTTAAATCAGTCAGCATCTTTACGATCAATTTTGTGGCCCGTTTGTGGTGTTTGTACTGTAGGGTTATTTGAGTTTTTAAGCACGTTAATGCTAATTTGCGCTCAATCCGGAAGGGTCTCGGGATTAGAGAAGAAGACTGATCCGGCAAGCAGTTCAAGGAAGACAAGAAGGGGCTCAAGGACACAACAATCGACTGTTGGGTATCGTTAAAATCTTTGTATCCCTTTTGGTACAAAAAGTAAGATATTACTCTGTGGGGAGCTCGACAATGACTGCACTGTAGTGACCCTTCACCGAACTGCGAATTTCCGAGTTAACCACCTTAATTTGGAGATTGAAAAAACCCGTATGGGTATAGTATTACTAGTATTATCATCTATACAGCCTATATTAATACTCCTATATCGTTTTTCAGTGAAAAACACAGTAAGCGGACCGGTTTTTAGGGTCAAAATAGCGATATTTTGATCCCCCCAAAAATTGCGTTCTTTGAGATGTCGATATTTTTTGAAACGGAAAAAAGCGCTAAAATAGTGAGTTACATCGTAACTGTACTAGTATAATGGGTAGAACCGGTTAAGTTTAGTTCGGAAGTGGTTGGAACTAATTGGTTACCAAAAACCGAATTTTCTTCATTTTTGAAAATGCTACAAAATAGGAAAAGTTTTTAAAAACTTTGAGTTAGGACACTAAAATTATTGTTCGGACAACGTTCACTAGTGAATTGACAGGTTTTGAAATCTGTTTGCCAATATCCTTCCGGGTTACAGTGAAATCGAACTTAACGTGTTTGATTTAGTGGATTCATCAATCCGGAATGGTCCAAATAGCATTGTTTTTGGCAAATTTTTTCAGCTGAAACTTTTTAGATTAAATTTTGTGCACTGAACTAGAAAAAAATAGGCAACTTTGGAACTACTGGACAGATCTAGTTCAACTTGGTACCATTAGATTAGAAATTAGGTGAGCTTATCCATTAAAACATTAATTAATCAAAAAAGAAAAGCGTGAAATTTCTTAAAGATTGTTTTTTGCAAACTCACTAATTCGGGAAGGTAGACCCTTCACGTTTTATAATTATTTTTTTGGAAAGCCCTTACACCCCTACCAAAGGGTAGTAACGGTTGAAAAGGGCAATTTTACGCAGTTTTAGACAAAAAGGGAAGGCTAAGTAAACCAGAAAACCATAGTCGAGTCGAAACTAGGCTAGTGATCAGACCCTTCACATTTAAGGTGAATTGTCAAATAAGAGGCTTAGCTTCAATCCGGAAGGGTCTTGGGAAAGATAATACACCCTTCCTAGTTAGTTCAAACAGCATAATAGCATCGGAGAACTTATCCGGAAGGGTATCGGGTGAAAACTTTGAAAGTCTCTGTGAAGCTACTTTTACAAACCCGGAGGGGTCCCAATCCGGAAGGGTCCCAATTTTGCCAATCCGGAGGGGTCTTATTTTGCCAATCCGGATGGGTCTTAATTTTGCCAATCCGGAAGTGTACCAATTTTGCCAATCCGGAAGGGTCCCAATTTTGCCAATCCGGAGGGGTACTATTTTTGCCAATCCGGAGGGGTACTATTTTTGCCAATCCGGAGGGGTCTTGTTTTTGCCAATCCGGAGTGGTACTGTTTTTGCTAATCCGGAGGGGCCTTGTTTTTGGCAATCCGGAGGGGTCCTGTTTTTGCCAATCTGGAGGGGTACTATTTTGTTAAGACTTAAGTAGACAGAAGAACAGAAAATAGTGAAAGGTTATAGGTTATCAAGAGACAGGCTAGAAACCAATGACTGCACTGGTAATTTGCCTTTGTAAAAGACCAGACCAAAACAAAACAGGTCTAAACTCGGATTTGCGCGACATCGAAATTGAAAAAGAGTTTGTCACTGATTTGAAATCCAAATCGTTTCTTGGAAAAGTGATTGCCTTGAGGATTTTAGTAGGTCTAGCTCGGGCAATCCGAAGACAGAGAGGTAACACAGGACTCGGTGGGTGCAATAGACGCTCACTTGAGAAAATTACTGCCTTCACGTTTTGTCTGTTTGGTGCAGCACCAAGCAGGGAAAGCTCTTTCTTTAGAAACAAGTTCGACTATTACATTGCGACTGACTGAAGTACAAAACACATACGTTTTTCATTGAAAATATTCTTATTTTTCTTTATTTTGGTTTTAAATCAAAAATATCTGTCTTTGATTGGGTAGTGAAAACACTATCTTCTAAATAAATTGATATCATCATACTGTGCTAGCTTAATATCTTAAAACTAATAATCGACTATTGTGAATAAATTCTATACACACTGTACTGTGATAACATACAACGATTCGTGGTCACTATTTAAGTGAAACTTTTGGAATTTATTGTGCTGTGTTATTGTTATCAGTAGTCAGACTAAAAGGACACTAGCAATTGAATTGAGTGTATAAGCAGTAAGAAGTTATAAATTGAAAATGAGTCTAGACAAGTCAAGGATACCCAAACTAAGTGATAGCTCCAGGAAATTAATACCAGAGAAACAGAGAAAAGCAATGAACGACCCTTTTGTGGAAAGAACCACACGAACCCGGACTGATAAAGGGAAGAAAGTTTCAGGCATAATGGTTGAAACCAGGAGTCAAAAGTCCTCAGAAGGACAGTAGGCAAGGTTAGAGGTAGAGGTCCATTCGGACCCCGCCGTGGATGAGAACCAAGAGGGACATGGACCGGAAGGGAGAGGAAACAGAAGATTCGCGAGTGAATATACTTCGGTAGAGCAAGGCCAAGATTTTGCCACTTCCACCGAGACCCTGGACCGAGAAGAGAAGTCGGAACTGTCTGACATCTCTACTGGAAATGTGGCGACTACAAGATCATCCACAGACAACACCACGATGCTTGGCGTGACGGAGAAACCGGCAACGTCCTCGTCGTTTTCAGAAAGAGTGAAGAACACTTTCGGAAACTTCTTTCCATTTACTATGGGAACGGGTACGGGCGATGAAGCAGAAACACAGGAAGAAGAAGAGGACGATGACGGGCAAGATGACTTTGGATCTCAAGTCAGCCTCAATAGCTCGACTCAGGAGAATGACGCATACACCGATAGAGAGGCTGGGACCATGGACCAATTTGGTGTGGTGAGGAGAAAAAGCAATACCACTAACGGATCAGGCCAGTCAGGAGACTTTGTGAACATGAAGAATTCGGAAATGTGAGCTTCGAAGAATAGAAACACTGGGCTATGTGACGCACCTGTGGATCCAGAAGTGGATCAAGAAAAGACGTCGAGGCAGATAATCAAGGCCCGAATATCGACCAGCACCAAGCTACCTGGGACCGACAGGGTGGCACCGCCACTTTTGACACCATTAGTGGATATTGGAGCATCAATTGAAGAATCCTTGACCAACATAGTGGGCAGCATAGAGAACAGATTGAACAGATGTCCTTATGAATGAGTGAACTAGAAATGGCAGTCCACGTCGAGAGAGAAAATCTGCGGGAAGAGATCAACCGCAACAGACAAGAAGTTAGTAGAAGCGAAAAACTTGAAGGAGAGAAAGGATGAACACTTGGCTAAGAACTTGTCGCGAATGACGAGGAAAGCTGAGCAGAGAGAGTTACGATTGAGAGACGACATGGATATGTTGAGAACTCAACAAGAGCAGACTCTTGGGACTCTTGACACCAAGATAGATGCGATGATGGAGTTGCGAACTCAGGCCATCATGGATAGGTTGGACGGGCTACTAGGCAGCAGGAGTGGATCAAAAAATGGGGAATCGAACTCGGGAGAACCCAGCAGGGAGCCGAGGTTGAACTTCAATGAACAACAGAATAGGAGAAGGACATATGGATCCACTAGAGGAAGGGGCAGTTCATCAAGCTATGCCACAGGGGACAATAGAACACGGGGCCCAAACATCAGAGGAAGCTCAACTGGCAACAGACAGACCTCAAACGAACGAGCGACGCAAGATACATATGCGAATGGGAGATGTGATTCCAGGAACAGTAGTCATGCGAGTCAAGGAAGAAACAATCTCAGCGATTCGGACATGACGGAAAATCCAGAGCCCTTATCAGGGGGCAATGATACTCAGGCGGGGCATTCAAGAGACGCTACATCAATGGCCACAGCCTTTGAACATCTGAACAGGTCTTTGGAGACATTCCTTACGAGGTTATCAAGAACCAATGAACGTAGTGAAAAGTCCAGAAGAGTCTTTAAGAAACCAAAATGCTACAAAGACGAATCTGATGGCTGTATTGATACCTGGATAGAAGTGATGAAACTGCATTTTGAGGAAGAGGACTTGTCAGAAAAACAAGAAAGCAGTGCTCTTACCAGCAACTTGGAAGGAACAGCCCTAAACTGTGTGATGACCAAAAAGCAATACCAGCGGGACACTGCTGAGAAAAACTCTGAAATCTTGTTAAATCGTTTTGGCTCAGGGGAGCAAGAACACCAAGTAATGATGCGGTTCGAGAAATGGAGGCAACGTGAAAAAGAGACGATAGACAAGTTTCTAGACAATTTGGAGATGCTGAGAAGGCGTAGCCAACCAGATGAGTCGAACAGAAGGATGAACCTAGCGGTAGCCTCAAAATTCATCGATGGTGTGAAGAATGATGAGCTTCGAACAATTTTAGCCACACATTACACACCACTCTCAACCAATGCGTCAACACCAGAGGAGTTGAGACTCAAGTCAAAAGAATATCTTTTGCTGAAGCCTCCATCGAGATCTGGATTTTACAAGAGCAATTATGGCAATTTTAACAACGGAACAGCAAACCAACGAAACAACTGGTACAAACCAAGGGACGATATGGTCAAGAGACGCTCTTGTGCAAATTGCAGTTCGACGGACCATCATGTGTCAGCATGCCCAACCTACAAACAGGGCATGAAAGCATTAGGATTTAGCCTCGAGGATTAAGATGCGTCAGAGGTCGATCATGAAGATTTCATGAGAGTAGTAATTGCCAAATTCGGCCCAAGGTGTTTCTTTTGTAGTTTGGAAGGTCATTTTAAATCGGATTGTCCACAATTCTGGGATGCTGTAGCAGACTTAAAGCATTCAAGGCATCAGGAAGCTTTATCGGGTGTGAAAGCCAGCAAAGCTCGCCTGTTGAGTGAAGCGGAGGCACGCAGAAAAGAAAAACCGCAAGAGCTGGCAACGATGAAGATTCAGGCGGTAACGGAAGAAATACGTGAGCCGGAACCGGTGACCGCAGCAGATGACTTCAAGATCGACTATAGGGCAGCCGCGAGGGATGCTCTAAATAGAGTCCAGAAGGAATTGGTGACGAAATAGATCGAACAGAAGGTGAAGCTCGAACTAGAGAATGAGAAAATTCAGGAAAAGCTAAACGCCTTCGAGGCATCAGAAGTCGAACAAACGAAAGCCCCGAGTAGTTTGAGTTTCAAACTAAAAGTGATTGGTTTCGGGATGGTGCCACAAGGAAGCAGAATACAGTCAACAGTTTCTGTTGCGGGGCATCAGGTGATCAGGAACCTAAGTGAACCCTCAGAGTTCACTATGATGCATTTAGACACATATGCAGATTATCTGAGACAGGTAGAGCCACGCACTTAGTCGAGGGCTGTACGAAGGTTGTTGAATACGGGTGACCCTCGAACGAAGAAACTCAACCGTTACGTGGAAGTCTATGGACCTTATCAAGTGATGCTGAACGTTGACGGGATAAGTATCTACACTAGGACCTACGTCACAAAAGATGGCGACCAAATGGGACAGATCTATTTGGGACAGGAAGAACTTAAGGTCCGCAGAATTGGCCATGACGCCATGATGGAGCAAGACGCGGTTCACATTGGATACGGTGAAGATGTGACTGCACATCTGCTCGACACCAACGGAAAGAAAGTCGGAGTCACAGGGCTTCTGGACACAGGAGCGGTAGTGAACGTGATGCCGATAAAAACTTGGGAAAGAATGGGCTTCACGAGGGAAGACCTAATTCTGACGAATCTCCGACTAGCGGCAGCCAATCGAGGAGCGGTTTACGTAGCCGGAAGAACACCAATAACGGTCCTCCATATGGGAGGACGGGATCTTTTATATGAGCTTCCTGGTGGTAGAGAATTTGGACGACTCCAATCAGTTCATCTTGAGCAGAGATTTTGGCAGGAGTTTCGACGTGATGCTTGACTTGAACAACGGTCTAATAAGGATTAGAAAACCGGACCGCAAGTATGTTAAGAAACCAAATAAAAGAATAATAACAGATGAAAACAAGGTACCAATCTTTTTAGATAGAAAGGTAAAACTACAGCCGGGACAAGCTGTAGTAGCAACTTTTAGAAAGAGAAATTTAAATTCGTTAAGTGATAGTAAACAGGTTTGTTTGGTACCGAACACAAGTAGTCAAAGTTCAGTGATTTTAGACCGGAGCTTCTCGGTAACTCGAAACGGACTGTGTGTCAGTGTGTTATTGAACACACTGGACACCATGGTTTCAATCCAGCGTGGAAAGAAAATTGGTTACGCTTTGCCGATGAGGACCGACTACAAAGAGGCACAAAACTTGAAGAGATATAATGTGAAAGACTGTCCTTATCATGCCAATAAAGAGATATAATTTTTAAAAGAATTAACGAATTTAAATCTATTCATTAACTGTTTTCAATGAAATCCGAAAGGGACGACGGCTTGTCCAGCTGCTCGAATTTTCCGGAATGCCCTCGTCATATGAACTAGAACCTGACAAACCGGTTTCACCAGAAATAGAACACTTAAAAGGGAAAATAGGCGAAGGAGATTTTGAATCATTGCGGGCGGTTTTAAATCGGAACGCGGATGTATTTTCAAAACATAAGGCGGATATCGGTGGTTGCAGTTTTTTCGAACATGAAATCGAACTAGAGGAAGGCACCGTTTCCCATAGGGAAGGCGCAGGACGAATGACGCCACATAAATTGGAAGCGTGCCGAGCGGAAATAGAAATGTTGCTCAAATACGACATGATAGAACCCTCGAAATCGCCGTAGGCCTGCGGCGTAGTCATGGCAAAAAAGAAGGGGACAGCTTAGGTTCTGTTGCGGCTTTCGCTACTTGAACGCGTTGACAGCAAAAAATCCGTACCCGTTACCGAGAATAGACAAGAGCCTCTCGAAACTTGGTGACGAGAAGTTCTCCACCACACTGGACTTGGGTTCTGCCTTTTTGGCAGGTCCCTCTGCGGAAGAAGGACAGAGAGAAGACCGGATTCGCATGTGAATTGGGGTTGTACCAGTGGAAGAGGATGCCCTTCGGCTTGTGCAACGCAACGACCACTTTTCAAAGACTGATGGCTCAGGCTTTGATCAGAGTGACGAAGAAGTACGGGAACCTTGGGATGTGTTACGTGGATGACGTGGTCATAGCAACACCCACCCCGGAAGACCACATTGATTGGCTCGATGAGGTCTTTGGCTGCATGAAGAGAGCAGGCTTGAAATGCAAACCATCGAAATGTGAGATCCTCAGGGATTCAAATTCAATCAAGTATCTAGGAAGAATGGTGGACAGGCATGGCGTGAGGCCGGACCCGGAGGCAGTAGAGGCTGTATTGACATGGAAGGCTCCTAGAACACACGCACAACTCATGAGCTTCTTAGGGTTTGCCAATTATTACCGTGAGTTCATAAAAGGATATGCAGACAAGCTGTATCCCATTCAGAAGCTGATGCGCAACAAAGGAAAGAAGTTCGAATGGAACGAAGAAGCACAAGCTGCCTTTGAAAAACATAAAGCGGGAACTGTGCAAAGCGCCAGCGCTAGGTATGCCTACAGAGAAGGGCATGTATGTTCTTGACACAGACGCATCAGTAGAAGCCATCTCAGGAATACTGCATCAGGAGCAGGAATGGAATGGAAGAACAGTTCTCCGTCTCATTGCATATGGCAGCAAGGTGTTAAGTGACACTGAGATGAAATATGGTGCACCGAAAGCAGAAATGTTTGCAGTAGTCACATTCGTGGAAAAATACCGCGCATACTTGGGGAGCGCTCCCTTTAAGTTACGCGTGGACAACAGAGCGTTATCCTGGTTGAAGATATACTCGATGGATCAGAGTCATATTGGTAGATGGATAGTAAGATTAGATGGCTACCACTTGATAATCGAGCACAGGATGCGTGATAAACAACAGAATGCTGACAACCTCAGCAAAAAAAACGAGTTCTATGAAAGATTGGAACAAAAGCAAGCCAATCAAGCAGAATTCAAGGAAGGGTTCTCGTTGCTGGACAAATAAACTTATGAAGCGCTTCCCTTGACGAGATGGTTAGACAAGTCTGGACATCCAATTCCAGGAAGTCCTGAGTTACCTGTAGAGAAGGCAGCCGAGATAAAGATTCTAACCAACAAGGACCCGGTACCCCTGGATCTGTTGCTGCCGTCAAAGAAAACCGTCACCTTCTAGGATCAAGATCAGTGGTGCGAAGAGGTTGAACGAAAGCTGGAGCAAGATTATTTGTCCGAGGAGACGAACGGTTCAGGATCAACACCAAGGACAAGAAAATTTGTCCCGGGAGTCTGATGTAGTAGAAAAAGTTCCTGATAAGGAACAGGAGATGGAGGTTAAAATTTTGTCCGGGGAGTTCAGATGGATGAACAGAACACACAGAATTGATCCGGAGGAAGGAACGTGCTCCATCGCAGACTCTCTAATTGATGATAATTCCCGGAATTCAGGAATCGACACCTACTCAGACAGGAACTCGAGCTCAGGATCGGAACTGTCGGAGCTAGCGATCCACACACTAATGGTGGAGACTCGAGCAAGGGATCTGGACAGGGAGGTATATCAAGACCCTGACAGTGATCGCTACCTCATACCAGGTGAAAGAGTCTTTGACAACGCAGCAGATGATCTGGAAACAATAGCGGTATCGAAACGCTCGATAAGTTTGTTGCCACAAAAAGAGGTAGTCAGGACTGATCTTCAACCGTTCGAACAAGAAACACGACCGTTGGCGAAGATTTGGTGCGTTAAGATGGAAGATGACACGCATCAGCCAGATGAAATGAATAGTCAGATGAGGGTCATGAAGACATACTTGAAGGCGAGATACAGACTTTCGGATCTACTAAGAGCGCAGAGAATTGACCGCATGACGAGCAACCTGAAAAGGTGGATCGAAAATGGAGCTCCGGACAAAAGTGACCTGGAGGAAGACAGTTACCGCATTCTGAGACAATACTTTATGCATAAAGAGGGAAGGTTATACCTGAACAAGGACGGAAATGTGGCTGGTAAGAGAAGAGAAGAAGACAAGGTCCTGTACAAATATAACGCGATAGTGTTGCCGCAACTCTATCAGACAGAACTTTTATTCAGGTCACATAATCAGACGGGCCATCAGGGAATTGACAAAGTATACCAGAGGATCCTGAAACTCTTTGAGTGGCCTGGAATGAAAAAGGCATGCAAGAAGTGGGTAACAGCATGTCTGTCATGCCAACAGGTCAAGGATCCAAGAAAATTGCGGTTTCCCTCGCAGTCGATCGAGTCATCTGAATTCAACGAGGTGGTGCAGATTGATCACCAAAAGATATGTATGACAGACAGTGGTTACAATCAAGTCTTGGTCATGATATATGATATATCACTTCACGAAGTATGCAGAGACCGTGCCCTGCATAACTGCCTCAGCAGAAGAGACGTGCGATCACCTAATCAATGCGTGGATAGCGAGACATGGTTGTCCGATGACGTTTCAATCGGATAACGGAACAGCTTTCGTGGGAGAACTTACGAAAGAACTCATGAGACGTTCACAGGTGGCTCAAGCTCACTCCACGACATAACATCCCCAGACGAATGGCTTAGTGGAAAGGCAAAATCGAACGTTAGTATCGATGCTGAGGGTATTTTGTTCCAGGTACATGACCGATTGGGACAGATATCTTCCACAGGTGATGGGAGCTTACAACAGCACGCAACACTCCGCCACCGGAGTTAGTCACACATGATGTTAACCGGACATGAGAAGTCTTTGCCCTTAACTTTCTTTTACCCAGAGTATGAGGGGAAGAAAACATCACCACAAGTCTACGTAGGGGATGTGATTAAACGTCAACAAGAACTAAACGACTTGTGTAGACGGAATACTCAGCAGGCACAGGCAAAGCAGAGGAAAAGATTCGATAAAAAAGCAGCTGGTGCAAAAACTTACTCGATAGGAGGCTACGTATGGGTATTACAGAATGTTATACCACCAAAAGGAACGAAAAAGCTCCTGAAAAAGTGGAGGGGACCCTTCATGATTACGGAAGTGCACCAGGAGGGACGTTTTTATAGACTAAG